GAAATAACACATCAGGATTCATCTGTCAATGTCGTTAACAATGACGACGAAATCCAGGAATTCGAAGATGAGATTTTAGATGAGGTAGAAGAACCTCTCTACAATCGAATTGAAAGAATCTCCAGGAGAAGTCAAAATAATACCAGTAATCAGAAAAACTGGTATCCTCAACCGTCTTTTTCGGATATTCAATTCGAAGAAAAGACTCTACAAACTCAAGCTCATTACGATGGTCTAGCAATCTATGAATGGAATATCGATGGATTTTCGACTATCTGATAATGAATGTTGTCAATGAAATGATGATGGCCGCAGGTGCGTATAAATTATAGGGCCATAAGTCCGACCATCAAATAGCTCAAGTTTTAGTGACTGAATTTACCGGGCAACTCAAGGACTAGTGGGACAAATAACTTGACGAAGCAACTCGCCAACAGATATTAAACCACTATGTCGTTAGGCCAACTACTCAAATCATCAAAGAAGAAGGTCCATCAACTAGGACCGAAGTACAACATGAAAGGGTAGAGGATGCTGTCAACACCCTCATTTATACCCTTATAGAATTCTTCGTGGGCAACCCCTTGAAATACCAGGAAAGATCCGCCGAAATACTCATGAACTTGAAGTGCCCCACCTTAGGAGATTTCAGGTTGTACAAAGACATGTATTTCAGCAAAGTTCTTATTAGAACAGACAATTCGTTCGAATTCTGGAAAGAGAATTTTATCAATGGACTACCAAAACACTTCTAAAGAAGGATTAAAGACAGTCTTAAGACAAAGTATAATGGAACAATTCCATGGCAGACTTTGTCGTACGGATCAATAGCATCCTTCATCATAGAAGAAAGACTCAGACTTTGCAATGAGTCAAAGATTCATAATAAGTTCAATTCTTCGATATCAAATAGAAAAGAGCTTAAAAGATTTTGCGATCAATATGGATGCAATGGGATAGAGGCCCCCTCAACCTCCAGAAGAAAGAAGGTTAGGATGCATCCAAAGCCTTATAATTCGTACAGGCCTAGAGAAAAGTATCGAAATAAACCCGTGCAATCTCAAAAGCCAACGAATTTAAGGAGAAAGAATACTCCTACAAAAACCCATAGAGGAAAGAAAAAGCAAACTTGCTTTAAATGTCGAGAAGAAGGACACTATGCTAACAAGTGTCCGATCAAAGGAAAGATCAATGAGTTGGATATAGATCAAGAGCTGAAAAATCAGCTACTACGACTGGTTCTAACCGACTCAGAACAATCAAGTGAGGGAGAAATCCTCGAACTCCAAGAAGAATCCGATTCATATTCTAGCACAGAATATGAATCAGAACAAGAAGGAAAGAGGACGTGTGAAGGATGCATAAACATTCTTACAAAGGATCAAGAAATTCAACTTGAGGTGGTAGAAAAAGTTCAAGATCCAGAAATTCAACAGAAAATTGCTCAATGACTCAGAGATGCCATGACAATCTCTAAGCCACCTGAAAGGGAAGAAAGAAATCCCTACAAACTTCAATCAGTTCTCCAAAGGTTTGAAAAATCGAGAGAACTCACTACTCAAGACCTACAAAGAGAGATTAATAATCTCAAACAAGAAGTATAGGCATTAAGATCTGAAACCAGGTCAGAATCATATATGCTTTGCCAAGAAATTCTCAATCTTCAAGAAAGGGTGCCCGAACAAAAGAAAACGGCGCAACAAAACCTGGATGAAGATGATTTTCAAAGTTCCTTCGTTGTAGCCATCACCACTTCTCAATATCAAAAATGGTATGCTCTAGTTACCTTGAAAATTTATGATTTCAAAATCACACTAAAGACTCTCATAGATACTGGAGTCGATCAAAATTGCATTCAAGAAGGCCTAATACCTACTAAGTATTTTGAAAAAACTATCGAAGGCCTTAGAGGTGCAAATAACAACAGACTCAAAATTAATTACAAACTATCAAAAGTCCATGTTTGTAACGACGGAATTTGCTTAGTAAATTCTTTTAGTAAAGGACTTAAGACAAGAACTAATCCTAGGTACCCAGGTACCCCTTTCATTACTCAATTATACCCCTTTTAAAATAACTGAAGAGGGATTAGAGTCAAAAGCGTTAGGAAAAAAGATAAAATTTAATTTCCTTTCCCTATAAAGATTAGTGAAATAAATAACCTTCAAAAGAATACAATTATTCCATCAATAAATGTATTAAATTATAAAGAAAAACAAATTTCTTTTCTGAACGAAGAAATTTCATTCAAAAGAATAGAAGAACAGCTTCAAATTAGAATTTGTTCAACTATCCCTAAATGCCTTTTGGAATAGGAAGCAACACATAGTTAATCTTCCTTGTGTCAAAAACTTCGAGGAGAAAAATATTCCTATGAAGGCCCAACCTATTCAAATGAATAAGGAATTATTAACATTCTGCAAAGCAGAAATCAATGATCTTTTGCAAAAGGGTCCTATTAGGCCGTCAAAGAGCCGTTAGTCATGTGCGACTTTTTACGTCAGCAACCAGGCAGAGAAGGAACGTGGAGTACCGCGACTGGTAATAAACTACAAGCCCTTAAATAAGGTTTTGGAATGGATTAGATATCCAATTCCAAATAAATCAGATTTAATGCAAAAAAAATTTCAAATGCTAAAATTTTTTCAAAATTTGATATGAAATCAGGATTTTGGCAGATCCAGATTTCAGAAAAAGACAAGTACAAAACGGCTTTCAATGTCTCTTTCGGACAATACGAATGGAACGTTATGCCATTTGGGCTAAAAAACGCTCCATCCGAATTTCAAAAAATTACGAATGATATTTTCAATCCTTCTCAAGACTTTTCAATTGTTTATATTGACGATGTTCTGATTTTCTCTCAAAACATCGATCAACATTTTAAACATTTTCATCCGAATTTCAAAAAACTCTCCATCTGAATTTCAAAAACTTATGAATGATATTTTCAATTATTTTCAAGACTTTTCAATTGTTTATATTGACGATGTTCTGATTTTCTCTCAAAATATCGATCAACATTTTAAACATCTTCAAGAATTTTTGGCAATAGTAAAAAGAAAGGGTTTACTTGTATCTAAACCAAAAATAAAACTTCAGACAAGAATCTGTTTTCTTGGGTTTGAAATTTATTTAGGTCTAATTAAACCCATTCAAAGATCCATTGAGTTTGGCTCAAACTTTCCGGATCAAATCACGGATAAAACCCAACTACAAAGATTTTTTGGATGTCTCAATTATATGTCTGATTTCCTTCAAAATATCAGGCCCATTTGCAAATCACTTTTTGAAAGGCTCAAAAAGAATCCGAAACCTTGGACAGAAGAACACACCAAAACAGTCCAAAAAATCAAATCCCTTGTCAAATCAATTCCGTGTTTATCTCTGATAAACCCGAGGGCTGGTTTAATAGTGGAGACCGACGCATCCGATATCGGATATGGAGGAATCCTAAAACATTGACAAGAAAGAATCCATTGTTCGTTTTCATTCGGGAATATGAAATTCTACTCAAAAAAATTACTCAACAGTAAAGAAAGAAATACTTTCAATAGTACTTTGTGTACAAAAATTTAAAAGCGATTTAATTAACAAAAACTTTGTGGTGAAAACGGATTCTAGGGCATCTAAGTTAAGAATCTTGTATCTAAACAAATTTTTGCTAGTTGGCAAACCATTTTGTCTTGCTTCGACTTCCAAATTTTGCCTATAAAAGGGGTCGAAAAGTCTTTGGCGGATTACCTCTCAAGAGAGTTCTTACTCTCAAAGAAAAACTCTCCCTAGCCAAGCTCCTTCTCCCAGTGATGACCGGTAAGAAAGCAATAGAAAAAGGGAAGAAGCCCATTGCTTCTTCAAACACACCTACTCCAAACAAGTTAAATGACTTAAAGATCAAACACACCTATTTTTGTGGTTAAGAATTATTGTAAAATATTTCAAAATAACCCGAGAATGTTTAGGCCCCAAACAAAGGCCGGCGAATAATGACAAAAATATTTCTTTGATGCGCTTAAGATATTTTATGGCTAAAATAGACTCCAAATGACTTAAGAATCTATATTATGGATAATTTTAATGATGTTAAAGACGGTAAGATTTCATCCTAATTTGATTAAGTTTGGATTCTAAACCATGATTGGGGTGGAAAGAGACATAAATACATGTAGAATCTCATGATGTTTCTAAGTATTTAACGAACTTGAAATGATATGAAATTTTATATGAGACTCGTTTATGAAATTATAGACGACTATATATCACTTCAAATTTATTTAACGACCAAGTATCATGACTCATGACCCGTGATTTAGGACTAAGATCTTCATGAAACGAAACTATGATAAGCTCTTGGTCAAATCATAGAGATACTACCTTAGCACCCACCATGGACACGATTAAGAACCGATAAGTAGGCTACAAAGAGCGGCGACAACCTTGTTTCTCACAATCAAACATGATCTCAAAACTACAAAGAATTACAATAACTTTACCATTTATCATGGTAACAAATGTGGTTTCAAAACTACAAATACTTTGTCATCCTTATTCTTCATGTTATAAATGGGTTGTATAAATGAGACAAGTAATCTAATCAAGTATAATTCATGGAGAAGAAAATCTCTACCGGGTTATAAAATAATAATATGGAGTTCATGAAATAACATAAAATATCAATTTATTGCACATCAAAAGTAAACCAAGGCTAACACTAGTATATTTTTGTTTAAAAATATAATTATTCTTAATGATCCTCAAATGAAGGGAGGGAAAAATTAGAAATTTAATAGTCAAACATTCTATACTTGGAATACTCCCAAACCCACAAAATTTAACACCCTTTCTAAATTCGGTGGTCTTTTCTAGATATAGTTTTCCCATCAAACTATATATAGGGCCTCACATTGTAAGAAAAATCCAACCACCCACATCTTAGCAATTGCTACTCTTCATCATTTGTGAAACGAGCTTGTAACCTTACAACTTTAAGACACTCCACAATGGCCGTAGGCAAAGGTTTCAAGCTCTTTCATACCCTTTTCTTAGTGATTTCTTGGCAATATTGTGCGAAAGTGGGTGCCACTTTTAGTGATGTCACCGGTGTCGTAAATCTCGATCATCAATTTTCATTTCGTGCCTTTGCATCACATGACACACAAGCACCAGCGGTAGCACCAATTGGAAGTAGCACAGAAGTCCTAGTTGCTGCACCGTTTGGAAGCATCACTAAAACTCCTAAGGCTTTAACCCCAGAGGCTGCATCAGATGGAAGCATTGCTCTAACCCCGGAGGCTCCATGGGATGGAAGCATTGCTCTAACCCCGAAGGCTCCATGGGATGGAAGCGTTGCTCTAACCCCGGAGGCTCCATGGGATGGAAGCGTTGCTCTAACCCCGGAGGCTCCATGGGATGGAAGCGTTGCTCTAACCCCGGAGGCTCCATGGGATGGAAGCGTTGCTCTAACCCCGGAGGCTCCATGGGATGGAAGCGTTGCTCTAACCCCGGAGGCTCCATGGGATGGAAGCGTTGCTCTAACCCCGGAGGCTCCATCGGATGGAAGCGTTGCTCTAACCCCGGAGGCTCCATGGGATGGAAGCGTTGCTCTAACCCCGGAGGCTCCATGGGATGGAAGCATTGCTCTAACCCCGAAGGCTCCATGGGATGGAAGCGTTGCTCTAACCCCGGAGGCTCCATGGGATGGAAGCGTTGCTCTAACCCCGGAGGCTCCATGGGATGGAAGCGTTGCTCTAACCCCGGAGGCTCCATGGGATGGAAGCGTTGCTCTAACCCCGGAGGCTCCATGGGATGGAAGCGTTGCTCTAACCCCGGAGGCTCCATGGGATGGAAGCGTTGCTCTAACCCCGGAGGCTCCATGGGATGGAAGCGTTGCTCTAACCCCGGAGGCTCCATGGGATGGAAGCGTTGCTCTAACCCCGGAGGCTCCATGGGATGGAAGCGTTGCTCTAACCCCGGAGGCTCCATGGGATGGAAGCGTTGCTCTAACCCCGGAGGATGCATGGGATGGAAGCGTTGCTCTAACCCCGGAGGATGCATCGGATGGAAGCGTTGCTCTAACCCCGGAGGATGCATCGGATGGAAGCGTTGCTCTAACCCCGGAGGATGCATCGGATGGAAGCGTTGCTCAAACCCCGGAGGATGCATCGGATGGGAGCGATGCTCAAACCCCGGAGGATGCATCGGATGGGAGCGTTGCTCACACCCCAACCGTTTCTCAAACCCCGGAGGCTGCATCAGATGAAAGCGTTGCTCACACCCAAACCGTTGCTCAAACCCCGGAGGCTGCATCAGATGAAAGCGTTGCTCACACCCAAACTGTTGCTCAAACCCCGGAGGCTTCATCGGATGGGAGCATTTCTCAAACCCCGGAGGCTTCATCGGATGGGAGCATTGCTCTAACCCCGGAGGCTTCATCGGATGGGAGCATTGCTCTAACCCCGGAGGCTTCATCGGATGGGAGCATTGCTCAAACCCCGGAGGCTTCATCGGATGGGACCATTGCTCAAACCCCGGAGGCTTCATCGGATGGGAGCATTGCTCAAACCCCGGAGGCTTCATCGGATGGGAGCATTGCTCAAACCCCGGAGGCTTCATCGGATGGGAGCATTGCTCAAACCCCGGAGGCTTCATCGGATGGGAGCATTGCTCAAACCCCGGAGGCTTCATCGGATGGGAGCATTGCTCAAACCCCGGAGGCTTCATCGGATGGGAGCATTGCTCAAACCCCGGAGGCTTCATCGGATGGGAGCATTGCTCAAACCCCGGAGGCTTCATCGGATGGGAGCATTGCTCAAACCCCGGAGGCTTCATCGGATGGGAGCATTGCTCAAACCCCGGAGGCTTCATCGGATGGGAGCATTGCTCAAACCCCGGAGGCTTCATCGGATGGGAGCATTGCTCAAACCCCGGAGGCTTCATCGGATGGGAGCATTGCTCAAACCCCGGAGGCTTCATCGGATGGGAGCATTGCTCAAACCCCGGAGGCTTCATCGGATGGGAGCATTGCTCAAACCCCGGAGGCTTCATCGGATGGGAGCATTGCTCAAACCCCGGAGGCTTCATCGGATGGGAGCATTGCTCAAACCCCGGAGGCTTCATCGGATGGGAGCATTGCTCAAACCCCGGAGGCTGCATCGGATGGGAGCATTGCTCAAACCCCGGAGGCTGCATCGGATGGGAGCATTGCTCAAACCCCGGAGGCTGCATCGGATGGGAGCATTGCTCAAACCCCGGAGGCTGCATCGGATGGGAGCATTGCTCAAACCCCGGAGGCTGCATCGGATGGGAGCATTGCTCTAACCCCGGAGGCTGCATCGGATGGGAGCATTGCTCTAACCCCGGAGGCTGCATCGGATGGGAGCATTGCTCTAACCCCGGAGGCTGCATCGGATGGGAGCATTGCTCTAACCCCGGAGGCTGCATCGGATGGGAGCATTGCTCTAACCCCAACCATTGCACCGAGTGGAAGCGTTGCTCTAACCCCAACCATTGCACCAAGTAGCACACAAGCTTGAGAGTAATTGTTAAGCATGGATGTTTCTTTGGCTATTCACAAAGAAAACCTTATGCCAAAGAACTATTTTGTGGACAAATTCATTATTTCTATATTTTTTTCTGAATGGAATGATTTTCCTACCTTTTTCTCTAACTATCTATTTTAATTAAAGATATTTTTAAAATTTAATGAAACACAAGTTTTTATAGACTTCACAATCTACTAAATGATACCATAACCAATGAATAGACACTATAGTGAAATCTGTAGACGCGCTCCTCTTAAGAACTAGTACTAGAGCATCTCGATTTGATTCGAGGTGCGGCATGCCATATTATATTATAAACAAGTTCTATAATATAATTAATTCATGTCTCTTACATCAAATTAAAAGAACTTTCTTTGGTTTTTAAGCAATTCTATTTTATGTTTAACAATTTTGGCGCTATATTATCATCGATCTTAGTAATATTTTAATAAAAATGATTATCAATATAATGAATTAAATTATTATAATCTTATAATAATAAGATTTCAAAATTGAGATAATGATTCAAATCTAAGACATTAGTCAAAGCTACATTAGTCAAATACAAGATTCTGGTAGAAAACTTTGGTCAAACATTTTATGAAAAGTTAAAGGGTAAGACTGTAAAATAATTGTGTCTAATTGAAAAGTCATTTCTCTCTTCCATACATATAGCAATAAGAGAGTGGATTCCCATAGTGTAATTTTTTTTTTTCGAAATAAAAAAAATGAAAATTTCAACTCCGCAAAGATAAGCTAGGGTTGTAACTTTGTAAGATTTCATTTTTTTTTTCTTCGACAATTTTACAATCCAAAACTGTCGACCTAGTTCATACTCCTTTGTAGCTAACGACAATTGATACATTTGTAACTATTTTAAGTGAAGTATTCCTCCGCCACTAAGCCTTGACAGCGATGGTTAAACAAACTAAGATTTTAGTCGTATTTAAGACATCCAATAGGGTTAAACAGAAAGACATTCTCTAAGATGTTTAAATGACTCTTAATTTGTGATTCAAAGTTGAATTGTTTGTCAAGAGATATAATGATTCAAAACTAAGCATAGTTCAAACACAAGATTTTGTGTCGAAATAAGGGATGGTTGTAATTTTGTAAGGTTTCAATTTTGTTCTCCGAAAATTTTGTACAACTGTGACTAAGCTCTGCCATCTACCGCCATTGACCCAGTTCGCTCCTTATTTACCGCCACCGTCAACTGATACATTTGTAACTTCTTTAAGCCGTAGTGTTCCTCCGCCGCCATCGAGTCATGGCAACGATGATCAAACAAACTAAAATTTCAGTAGCGTATTTAAGAATTTAAAGATAATACATGAATTTATGTATAAGAGAGATGTCAATTTTTTTTAGTTTAACAATATGTTTGGCCATGGATTAAAACAACATTTTAATCTATCTTTGGCACACAATACATGCTTTATACTTGATGAGGCATGTTGATTTCAATATTTTCTATTTGTTTCTTATTTTTTACCGTCATTATCATAAATCAACATAATATTGATAATGAATATTCGGGTATATATTGAAACGTGTAAAATATTTGTAAGTAAATTTTAACCCCGAAAAAATAGTACATCTAATAATTTTACATGAGATTTTTTTTTTTTTTCTCTGGACTGGAATCGTAATGATCTAATCACAATAATAAATTAATTATTTTAACATTTAAAAGTATTTAATTAAAAAATAATTTATATGGCAAATTTAACTAGAAAAATGTCACTTGATAATTTGCTATTATGGTAATTATATTTTACATCTTCCTTCTCTTATTATCTTTATTTTGTTGTAATTATTAGATTTTTTTATTTTTATTTTTATTTTTGTTAAAAATTTTAAATACCAAAAACATTTTACTTGTTACAAAAATCTGACCACAATCTAGAATTTTTTAAAAGAAGAAAAAGAAACAAATAGAAAGAAAGAGGGAAGATTGTGTACAGAATTAAAAGAAGAATGAGAGAATGAAAGATGGGCAAAGTGTTACCGTAGTGAATGGGTTGTACGCAAATAATATAATAACTATTTGTATGAAAATAATATTATAAAAAATATATATAAAACATTCCAAAATTTTACTGGGGCAAAGACGATAATGTTTGCATTAAATCTAACACATAGACCATTGTAAATGAGATAAATTATTCTTCATAAGTTCAAACATGAATATGATGTCATGAGCTCACCTAAGTTGACTTGAATTTTACTTTAAAGAATCAAGCAAGTAAATTAGTGACAACAGCTTAAGCTAAACACGTAAGTAATCTTGTGGCCCCAACATGCACCATATTTTTTATGTTATGCTTGTGTGCTTTATGCATTGAAATGTGATGTTTTATTATGTATACAATGGCATGTCATGTCAATTATATCATGTTAGGAATAAAATGAAATCCTCTCTAAGAATAGAATTGAAAAATGATGTAATAGACTACGTGATGTTTACTAGGTATACATAGTGCATGTACGGAATATGTCATGGATGAAATGAGAAAAGGAATGACGTTAATACTATGTTTTAAATGTAAATCATGGGCACCTCATGCATGTATGTGTGTCATGTGCATCAGGATACTTCCCCGTTATGTTATGTTAATACGGATTTGTACCTTCAATATACTTGTTTCTCATGGTATTTCCTTTTCTGTGGCATTTGGCGATGTGTAACCCATTAAGCCTAAACATGTCAGGCCCAGGGGTACGTATATGAACCCACCTTGCCCGAAACTGAAAATAGTCCAAGCACATGTGACAGTTTTAAGATAGGTCTCATCCTGTTATGTGCGTGATTGCATTGCTAAACCCAACCGTCGGATGGTTTACTGAGTATTTCGTAAAATACTTAAGTCATGTGCTACCCTTATACTTTCCAGGTAAAGTTAAAGCTCCACGTTTGGATCAGGTGACCTGGAAAGAGCATGGAAGTCAGAATAGGGCATGATAGAGTAGTAGAACGCATTGAATTTTATTTTATTTAGTAGTTGGTAAGTGTTTTAAATGCAATTTTTTTTATATATATTTAAAAATATGTTATGGTTAATTTATGGTTTAAAATTAAATATATAAGTCCACGAATTTATTTTTAAATTATTTATTATGAACTTTACCGATGAGATTAAAGCATGCTTGTGTAACGCCACTAATTTTGGCTAAAAAAATAGGGCGCTACATATACTATTCTTCAAACATCTTCCATGCAAGTCACACAAGGCACATGTCTAGCAATGTTGACCTTCATTGTGACACATGCAG